GGGGGTGGGTGTGGGTGTGGGTGTGGGTGTGGGTGTGGGTGTGGGTGTGGATGTGGGTGTGCGTGTGCATGTGCGTGTGCGTGTGAGTATCTTCTTCTCTGTCACCCACACCCCACCCACACATACCCAAACCCACACCCACACCCACACCCACACTCTCGCTTAAGAGGTGGGATGTATCACTTTACAAGTGGTTGACAACATTTTTCTTCACTGCCGAATCGAATCACCGAAGCAATCAAAAATACTCTAGCACTGAACGTACTAGATGTGAAATTCACTCATTCACTATCTTCTATTGACCTGCAAGAGTATCTTCTTCAGACGCAGTCTGCCTTAGCAGAGTTGCATGATTCGAGTGGAGAAGCAAAAACTGCATCAGACGTACCAAAGCTGGGAACGATTTTGCTCTCTCATTTTACTGAAGAGAAAAAGGATGAAGATATTTTAATTTAATTACGAACACCTTTTAATCTAGAAGGATAGAACTTTGTCATGAATTAGAGACACACTTCTGTTTCAAAAAGGAACTATTTCTATCTGGTTATTCAAGATGAGATTACTTTTTTTTTATAAGTGCAGATAGTAAATGAAATGTAATATTGTTTTGTTTTTATGTAAAATCAATTTTGTTCAATAAAAACGATTTTACTGTTGGTTTGTAAAACTGCCTATGAGTTACTCGTTTCTACGTAGGAATTAATATGGATTTTGACTTGATGCAACACGCTAACCTAGTGAATGATATGATGAACTGCGTCCCATAACACTATCATGTAGAAAAATCGTAAAGATCGAGTTAATGGAATAAAATTTTCCGCTCCTGATCCTTCACTTGCCTTAGTAATAATATTCTATTTCTCTCGAGTGTATTATATATGGTAATTGATACTTCATTATGGGTATTTGCTTGCAAAACCGAACCTGAACTCACTGATTTAATTGCAAAACTAGGGATGTGACAATTCACAGCTCATTTGAGCTGGTCAATAAAGTCGACCAGCTCATTTGAGCTGTCCAATAAGGTCGATCAGCTCATGTGAGCTGTTCACCAATTCTTTCCAACTAGTGATGATGATTCATCGATGAGTCATCGTGCCTAATTAAGGATAGTTATGACTCATCAATGAGTCATCGTGCCTAATTAAGGGTAGTTATGACTCATCGATGAGTCATCATACCGCTCCAGCTCAAATGAACTGAGCTGGTTATCGGCTCCAGCTCAAATGAAATGAGCTGGTCACCAGCTCCAGTTCAAATCATCATGAGCTGTGTCGAACAGCTCCAGCTCATTGAGCTGATATGGAACTGTCACATACCTATGCACAACTAAAACAAGTAAAAAATGAAGAATGAGATATGATTATATATTTTATATGAATTTCACCTACTAATACCGACCGTAAAGTTCCAATATCATGATTCAGCAAAGGAAAGAAAATAATAGGAAAAGTTGGTTTCAGTTTATTTAGTGCATTAGTAAAGTAAAGTATATCGAATAAATACCCTCTCTCTAAACGTTTTGAAGTTCGTAGTGGTGATATTTATTCTTCACTTTTGAGAAATTTTAAACGAACGTCACTGTTTCCATAAATAATGTAGGGTGACCAGAGAGCTGTTAAACCTGTGTATCGGTCAGTACGTATTTGATTGATCGCGTCAGCAAACGCGTCACCAATCGTTAGACCTTTCTCATGAAGATTTTGGTATAAGTATTCTGTAAATTTATTAGCAACATAATCTGCCACTTTATCTAGAGTTGCAATCACGCATTGGGCACCAGCTGCAAGAAAAGCGCGAGTCAGACCAGTATGACTCGATTTTGAAGCTACGGGAGCTTTGAATGTATTACAAGCGTTTAGAATCGCCAATCGTACTTTGGTTAAATCCATCTTTCGAATTTCTCTAGCAAATAATAATGTATCATCTATATCTTCCGTGCTGTTAATTGGAACAGAATGTTCAGTCTCTAAAATATTATCAATAACAGTTTCATCGGATGCAGTGATGAAACTACTTTGAGTATGATTGGTTTTTGCTACATCTAGTACCAAACAACCAGTGAGCCCGTAGTTAGTAGGAATCTCATTTTGTGGCACCCAATCTGGTCGAGCATGGCCACTGAAATGAAATACAACTTCTTTATGATTTGATTGAGCCAGTTGTGCGAAAAATTCTTCCAGAACTTTTTTAGTTGTTGTCGATTCGGGGATAAACTTACATCCCTTCAAAATATTGTCAATGGACTTTGTTTCTGTAGTTTTCAGGGGAAGCAGATTAAGATCTTTACGTCCTTGTGATGCAGTAAAGAGAAATGCGGCTATAGAGACACTATTATTTAGACAATTTGAATAGCATATCATATGTAACTCCGGAAGCATCGTGTATGAGGTGTTAAAATTTTCGATCAAGCGTTTACCATTGATCGAGAAGGTTGAGAAGGGCAGAAAGGCGAGCTCATCATCAGCAGCTATTTTCAAATTTTGCCGTTTTCCAGATGAATTTGAATTGGGATCTAGCCACCGTTCCAACGGCTTAATAAGATCATTCATAATATTTGTGTCACTGTCGATTTTCTGTTTAGCTGGTGTATTATCGTCTTTGTGCTTAATGTAATTTTCTTTCCCTTCAACATAATTGGTAAGATCAATAATGCTCACGTCCACTTTGTCTTTTAGATGAACATAACAAAGAATCTTGTTGCTTGAGAACAAAGCACCAGTCGAATAGAATAAATGGATTGCATCATCATTCTCGAATGGCTTCGCATCTCCCAAAATATGTATTATATGATCGACTTTGGAAATAATTCTTATTTTAGTATTTTCACCTTCAGTTAGAAATTGAAGAATTGTATTGTATATTGATATGTTAGTACCTCCATATTTTAGTGCATCGAACTTTGTTTTCAGATCACTATAGTATTTGTCGAAATTATGTAATTCATCCCACGGTTCTTCTATACTCTGTAGCCAGGCTTTGGCATCGTCAGGGTAAGGTAATAAACGATGATCTTCTATTATATCATTGAAGTCAATATTTTTAATACCATCGTTTTGCATCAGAACCGCACCAACTGTCATACGATCTAAGAGATGCTCTGGAAAAAACGTCAAATAAGCCGAGCCAGATGGAATGTTACAGAAAAATTGTTGTTTTTTATCATCCCATATTTTCCCTCTTTTATGAAAAATATTCTCATCGGAACGCCAAGCAATGTAGATTCGTGTCGAAGTTGCCATATACGTTGCCTTTAACAGTGTCATCTGTAGAATATCATCTGATTGATAAGAATCTTTGAAGCAGCATTCTCGAAAAAGATATTCCAAATGGTTGAACAAGTAACTGTATCTCTCGTCTAAGGACATTATAACTGGTGTTGTTGGCGAATCTTGCCGCATAAAATTCATTTGGTGAAAGTCAAAAAGATACTCAATTAAATCCATGATTGCCCCATCTGGTTTTATCTCTGACCACTTTGCTTCAACTATAAGTTCGTAGAGACCAGTTGCAAGCCAACAATGGTAAGTGGAATGAAAATTAATATTACAATCAGAAGAAAAGTAATATTTTGCAAACGCAAGATATTTAAAGAATAAATCACGTTGCTCTGTTTTATGTGCAAAAATGGCCCATAAGAGCCAAAAATGACATCGATCCGAGTTCGGTAAGTAATACTTTGCTGCAGTTATAAGTTGCTGTTTACAAAACTCATAGTTTCTCTTATCCCCATAGAAAGTAAGTTGCTCCGCAATAAGTAAATAAATGTAGAAAATTGTGGTAGGATCTAAATTGCTAAGATCGATATTAAAGAGTGTTACGAGTATTTGGATGGATTTTAAGTACATTTCTGTGATGCATTGTTGTCGGAAATCCTGATCGTAACGCGAACGTAGCTGCAGTAAACGTGTAGTATATGTCTGCCTGATCAACTCATAGCAAGCCGCTTTCTCCAGAGAATAGAGAACACGTTGCTTGAAAGGTGCTGAAGTACATATATATTTCTTTGCTTCGAGAATCTCAATTCCAACTTCGTACTTTTCAATGCAACGCAATATAATCGTATGGTACAGGATTTCTTTACAAGTTATGTCCTTTTCAGTAAGAATTTGCTTCAGTTTTGGTATGTCATAGTTGTAGCCTTTCTTTTTCAGTAAGAATTCATCAATTGCATTAAACGTACGAAAATGTGCACTGATAATCACCCATCGAATTCCTTCAACATCATCCATCGCTTGTTCACATGCAGGTTCATCGAAAATTTCCTTATATAAAATGTCCAATCCAGGTGATATAATGTGCATTACATTACGAGGCAATTTTCTCTCGCCAATCTCGTGGATAGTGGACGGATCGAGCAGCTCTAATTCTTTCCGTATTTCATTTTCCATGTCTTCATTGATGTTAGAATTATCATCAGTAGTAAGATACTGTTCGAAACTAAATGACATTTGAAGGTACTGATATAAACAGAGTACAATGGAAGTTTAGTGATCTAAATGAATAAAAGATGTTACATTTTTTTTTATCTTGAAAATGCGTCAAAAAGTAACTTTTAGCAGAATTGCAGGATTGATTTACATTTAAGTCCTCCTAACGAGAAAAAACTGCGATTCCATGGTCAAAAATGAAACGACCTGCTCGTTCTAATTAAATTTTCATCTACCTTTACATGGATGCCATGTGAATGAAAATGTTGCGTTCTCTAAGAGCATTATATCAATGTTGTGCAAGATACTTTTATCTTTTAAGATTAGAGGGGTGGCTGTGCTCAACAAGAGTGTTGGCAGAATTCACTTTTTTTTGTCGTGAATTTGATATCTATTGCATCAACAACGTGCAAAACCTCACATTTTGCCTATTCTATACAATATGAGAGAACGTCAATAAGAGTCGAGATTAAAATGGATTATTCACTTTTTCTCTGTCGTCATTTCATAAGAAGCTTTACGATACACGCACAATATACCATATTTTGCTTGACTTTTACGTCCGCTTCATTCTTGTACTTGCATCACTCAAATGACAACATCACCATCGGTTAAATCTTATTCTGTTTATGTTTTACCTGAACATCACACTGATGAAGAAAAACTTGTTAGTATAGATAATATTGATAACAAAAATGCTGGACAGTTGATCAATGTGAATATCGATAAAGACGAACCGGTATTCGATGATTTAATCGAGGAATTGTCTACAGTCCTGGATAAACCCGATTTTGCTTGTCAACTGCTTGTTGATGGTGTTGATTCATGCGAATTAGATATTCAATATATTGACTACTATGTAACAACACAGGGTTTATTCCTAAAAATTCTTCAAGTAGTTGAGATTAATTATTCAAACCTTCGGACTCGAGGTGGAGCTCAATCTACTGGAAGAGTCGTACCCCGCCTAGATATAGAAGGTAGCTATCGAATTACATCACGTTGCATGAATTCCAAGTGTAGTGAATATCAAAAAGACACGTTACTTCGTGTAACTGTACCCAATCGAATTGATTTGATCACCGACCGGCGGCTCGCGTGTTCCAAATGCCGTAGACACAAAGAATGCATAGCATGTGAATTTCAGCGTTGTAAATGGCGTTGGAAAGGACGAAAAAATGATGAAAATATCGTACAAACGTCCAAATTTTCTACAGTTAAAAACGGTCTTTTATTCAACCAGCACTCAGGCATAGATTTGAACGAATGGAAACATTTACACATCATTACTAAAATATCTCCGGAGTTGGAACCACCTGTTGAAACCACTGGTGAGGAAAACTGTCCCATTTGTCAAAGTCTTATCGACGAAAACTCTTCAACAAATTTCGCCCGCCTACCTTGTGGACACAATTATCATCCATGGTGTCTGCTGAAATGGATATTTGTCTCAATTACGGAAATGAGCATTGAATATCAATGTGCTTTATGCCGTAATATTATGAACGATTTTCCAAGTAGAGAATATTTGCTAAAATTGTACGATCGAAAGAGACAACTAATGCAACCGCATACTCAGCAATAAAATCATTTCTTCAAAATACTCTGCTAAATAAATTGAATCCACGAACCCAAACATAATTACTTTTACTCTAATGATTGATGTTTGTACGCTCTTTTATCAATAAAAAAAATCTTAAATGAGCTTCTTTTGCACAAACTCTTAACTATACGTTCACTGACAGCAAAAACAAAAATCGATTTCTATGTGACATCTACCTGCATAGGCGGCGGAACGATTTCTCTCTAGGGTAGGCTCAATTTTCTAGATAAATGAGATAGGGGAGCGAGTCACTAATCGACTTCCGCCAGGGCAACCAGATCGTCTGAAAACTAGGGAAATTTTCTGAATTTTGAACATGCTTCTGAGTTTTTTTCCGATCTTTTGATTTTTTCTGAATTCGGTATATTTTTAGATCCCTACTTTGTCACTGAAATTAGGTACGATTATAACCCATTACTATCATAGATCAATAGTGTTTAATCATTCTTCTCTATTAATCAACTTTTCTATTCCTCGTTTGGATTCTGACATCGCATCGATATTCAGTCATATGCAGCATTTATAGACAGATTATCGTAATCCGATCAAAATAGAACCCAGATAAGCCTTAACTTAAAATATAATATATAAGTAAATGAACGACTTAATATTGAAATATAAAACTTTTATTTTTAACAGCAGCGAAAATGTTTTGTAATTGACAATATCAGCCAAGACAGACTATCGAAAATGACAGGATTTACTTTTGCAGAAAAACTGCAAAAGTAAATTCTGTATAGACTATCTTTATGATGGAACTAACTGATATTGTGCAATTACATCGGCACTATTACATAGTGATATATATACCACGACCATTGAATGTTTTTCGTTCTTCGTATAGTATACTTATAGGCTGTTTATAACTAGCGAACTATTGTTTCTACTATACGATGACATCATTATACATTCTTTTTTCTATTTTATCTTCCATCTATACGAGATAGTTCGAAAATAATCCTTTACTTAGTATCGAAATGCGTCCATATATGCTGCCATAGTTATTTTGAAATATAATATATAAGTAAATGAACGACTTAATATTGAAATATAAAACTTTTTATTTTTTAAAGGAGCGAAAAATTTTTTTTTGTAATTGACAATATCAGCAAAGAAAGACTATCGAAAAAGACAGACTTCACTTTTGCAATCTATCTCATATAGATGGAAGATAAAAAGAAAAAAGAATGTATAATGATGTCATCGTATAGTAGAAACAATAGTGGGTCGCGTTCACTTGGCCGACAATCACTTGGCCGACTCATCACTTAACCGACACCACTTCGCCGACAAATTGTTTGGCCGACATGTACACTTCGCCGACAACTCATTTAGCCGACAAATATTT